GCGCGCGCACACGCGGAACTGGTAATCCACGTGGGGGTCCATGTGCAGCACCAGGAACTCGGGCTCCGAGCCCACGTACACGTCCTCAAAGGGGCTGCCCGGGCTCTTGCGGAACTGCAGCCGGTAATCCTGCGCCGAGAAATCTTCATCCACCTGCAGAAACGGCCCCGAGTCACACAGGGGCCTCGGGCTCTCCCTCCCCTCTGCGGGGCACAGGACAGCACCGAGGTGATCACTCACAAGGTGCTTCAGAGCAGAAAATGTGCCTTGCAGAAAGTAACATCAGTGTCTGAACCAACAGATGTATCAGAATTATCTTAGTACAGTTAGAAAATATCTAAAGAAGAAACATTTAACAGAAGGCTGTTCATTCTAGCAGAGATATAAAAAGATCCTTCAGCCAAAAGCTGAAAACAACTTTGCAGAAGAAATTCTGTGCCAGTTTTTAACAGCAAGGGAAAATTACTGCTGTCCTTCATAAACTGTTCCAGGGAATGATTTCTAGTTCTTTGATATCTCTGAGTCAAAAGATATTTACACACACACCCCCCCTCAAAAAACCCCTCCATTATCCCCCAGGCACAACCAAATCCAGGGAACTCCTGCACAGCACAGAAAATCAGGCCCCACCTGAGAGAAGTGCCTATGGTTTAACAATCTGAGTGCACATCCTTCACCACTGAAGGGTGGCCAGCAGCGAGTGGCTGTTGCTAGAACAACAAAGGTTTGTTTGATGCTGCCAAGGAGCACAGAGCTGTCCAACAACAACTAAACCACATCAGACCACAGTGGTTTACTCAAAAATAGTTTTTGTGTGTTCAAGAGAAAGGCTACTGGCCTAGCTAATATAATAATATTTTCTTTTTCTACCCACTGCATCTCCCTAGGAACACAAAGGTGTTTAGGGGTAAAAGTGTAACAGAGCAGGTCCAGCCTCCTCCTGGGGCTGCAAAGCAAGACAGGCAGACACAAACCCAGCACCAGCCACACACCATCTTGTCTTTAAATGACACCATCACCATATAAACCTCTTCTTAAGTTTTTAACTCCACACTGAAGTGGACTAGTCCTTGGAAAGCAGTGGAAGAAAGTGCATTGTATGTTTTTTTTAGAAAAAACTCAAGTCTACAGGAATTTCACACAGGGTATTTTACCTACCTTACACCATCGGACTAAAATACCTCCAGGCTTTTCCACAAACTCCTCCAGCTGCACAGGTGGGCGGGATGCCACAGTTCCATGCCTGAATATTTGATTTTTCAATATAGTAAGGAGGCAGTCATCCAGCTGGGCAGATAAACAAGGCACGTCAACCAAGGAAGGCACTTCTGGTAAGCTGAGAAAGGAAAGTTTGCTGTAATGCGAGAGGCCAGCTTCCACAAATTCAAATTTCATCCATACACTTGAATCTGTGCAGATTTGCAAAGAGAGAACAGCTGCAGAAATTGGCACGTGCATTCCAAACTTAAAAGACTCAGCAAACATTGTGTTTCAGCCCTAACCAGACTGTTTGTCAGCAAACACTCTGAAACACAGGCTGTTCTACAGGGAGTGCCTTCATCCTTCACAAATAAACAGCCTCTATTCCCACAGAGCACATGGAGGGTGAACATCCCCTCCATTCTGTGAGTGCCAGCCCCAAAGGGTGTCTGTGAAACAAGCAGGACAGCAGCACCTCAAATGAACTTTTGAGGCAACGGAGCAGAAAGCTTCTGCTTCAAAAGAGAAAAGATCCCCTGAAAAGAAGGACACATGCCACTGCCTCAGACCACCTCAGAATGTTGGTGTCTTACCTATCTAGCTGAATGTGTAAAGCTTTTTTTGTAAAGTTGCAAAGTTTCTCATTCTGTTGTCCCACATCTCCATCGACTGCACTCTCTCCTGTAACCAAACAGTAAAAATATTTCTAATGAGACAAGATCCACAGAAGGCATTCTTTGCTTCAAAGAATAACCAGTTCTGACATGAAAAACCAATTAAATGTGAAGCACTCTCAGCACCTTTGCTAGTCTTAGCTAGAAAATGCAATTACAGGTAACAATATAAAGCCTATCTAGCAACTTTTGAAGCTCTGAAAGCTACCTGTAGACACACCCATAACAGATGTAATAATTTGCCTCGGGTCTCAGACAGAAGCAGAACTGGGGTCAGATGACAAAAAACCCCCAGGATTATTAATCCCTTTCTCCACTAGCTTTAAATGAAGAAAAAAGCAAAGCACATTCACTGATCAGAAAATAAAAAAGCAGACACTTAAAAGCAAGAGATAATGTCAATCATTGTTCTGTTTGCTACAATCACAATCACTATCACAATGAATGAAATAATCTAATCCATGCAATAGTGTGGAAATAAATACAAATATTTTCCTAACTTTCCATATAAAGTAGCATCCCACACTTCATCTTACAGACATATGCTCCAGTCTCCAGTCTCCTGACTTTAGGGTAATTTACAATTTCAGCCAGCTCAGTCCTTTTCCAAGTGGAGGATTACACACATTACAAATCTCTGAAGGAAAACACACGTCATAATTGGCAGCAGGAGATTTAATAACCATGGATGTTTAACTCGTCTGTGCCTCAGCTGCAGCCTGTGCTGGTCCTGCCCACAGCCCTGGTGATGCTCAGAGCACCCAGGGGAATGGAAACTGCAGCAAGCCAGCTCCTCATCAGATCAGAACAGAATTTCACACAAAAACCTTCTGCCACCACGCTGAGTCGGTAACCTGAGACTTAAAACAAAATCAAGGTGAACACCAGCTGTCCTAGAGTGTGGTGGTGGAAAAAACCCCAAATTAATCCTTAAACATGGTCACTGCTCCTGTGAGCAGGAGGCACAGAGCTGCCCAGCCAGCACAAACTCAGGGCTGAGGAGGAACTGGGAGCTTTCCCACCCCTGGGACACAGCTCAGCTCCCAGAACTGAGCTCATGCTGAAAGAAAGTTAAAGTTGAGACATGAGAACAATGCAAGGAAACTGCCAACACACTCACGGCTCAGACATGCTCCCAGTAGGTTCTCCAGCCTGGGGAAAACAGGCAAGAGTGACATTCCTTTCTGCCGAGGTATTTAGCATCAGCAGGGTATAGTCTGGCCCTTACAGTAATATTCCACATGGCCATTTTTGTCTGCCTCATCTTCAAACTTTTTAGAGAAATTTTCCCTGTACAATGGCCATTTGATTCCTCAAGTTCCCCACCAACAATAACATAATCACATTCAGCAGGACTATGTGTTTATTTCAGCTATTTCAGCAAGACAGACATAATTTACTTCACCAAAGCAGACACTTTGCTATAGTGGTATACCCACAATGTATTTTATTCCAAAGTACCCTGACATACTTTTCTGTCTACCCTGGAGAGGCAGAGAATGTCTCTGCAGTGAAATAACTCTCAAATAGGTACTTCCTAGCCTTCCTGCCCTCCAGGAGAGGCTACACTGAGACATGTACACCCCAGGATTGGAGTGAAATGCTGAAAAACAGATTTGTAGGAGATAATAATTATCATTTTTTTTTATTGGAAAAAATTTTTTTTTTATTATAACATTTTTTAATTTATCTCCATTTATTATCATCATTGTAGGATGATAATAAAAATTTGTAGGAGATAATAATGATCAGCTCTTCACTACACCTACCCAATTCTTAACATTTAGTTTGAGACAAGTCCAAAATGAGCCAAACACAGTGATAATAATGGGAATATGCAGACTTTTGACAGAGCCACAGCGGAAGGCAGAGCTCAGACACAGCACCGGGTCGTGCCTCACCTTCCCGGAGCAGATCATCGGCCGTGCTGACCCCGTGCTCGATCAGCTTCTGGCACTCGTCCAGGGGCTTGATGCTCTCCTGCTCGATGACATCCACCTCCTGCAGCAGCGACGTCAGCCGCTCGTCCAGCAGCTTCTTCAGGGTCCCCTTCAAATCGCTGAAATGCTGCTCAAGCACATCTCTGGTGGATGTAGCACTGTCTTTGATCTGAGTGCAGGTAACAGGAAAGGAGGATTCAGGATAAAGGCAAAGGCCATGCACATCTTTTATTTTTCTGAAGCATCTCACCCACACTTGTTGGAGAAAAGCTGCAAGTGGAGTCTGCTTTAAAAAATCACCTCTGGCAGTTAACAAATTAGTGAAGTCATTTTTAGCACATGTACAGCAGGAAGGGAGGCAAAGAAACCAGCCTGGATGAGGGGAAGAGCATATTAGCTAAGCAAAATACAACGTGGGTTATGGGTGCTTCAATCAAGGAATTTTTCTTGTCAGAAAAATCCAAATGCTCCAAATCCTCCCTGCTGCCCCTCAAAAAAACCCCACTGCTGTAATTCTATTTAAAAAACACACTGCCATCCTCTGGTAATCCTCCTTGCAAACAAAAACCTATCAGACTTTCAGAAAACTATCTAGGAACACTTTTCCAAGTGCTATCACTTCACTGGATTTTAAAAATCCTCATAGAACTGCTTTCCTTTCAATTTTGTTCAAACCCTTGGTGACCGGACAGGGTGAACAGCACGTCTGTTGATTCCGGAAGAACCCGACCACAGAAGGTTCTACAAGTGCTCATTAAAATGTCTGCAAACTTGCTGAATCTGGCTTTTGGGGAAGAAAACACACTTGAACATCCCTGAGCTAAAGATGCAAAAATCAGAAGTAAACATCTCCCTGTGAAACACTTTTCTAAGTCACGCACACAAGGAAATGCTGCAGCAGACTGACAGCCTTACACGTAATTTCTAGATCTTTAGAAGTACAGACAACCAACACAGGAAGTTCTCTGGTTAGGTAAAATAAATTTCCTCTTCACCAAATACTCATGAAGGTCTGCAGCTGCCACACAGCTCTGTTTCCCTTTTCTTGTAAGTTCAATGCTTGAGGAAAAAAAGGAAGTATTTAGCTTTGTGAAGGGGTGGGGCAAAGGAAGACAGAACACTCACTTCTCCAAGCATTTTACCTCCATTAGAGGCAGATACAAATTCAGCAGCTCAGCCACAGAATTAGATACTGCTCATCATGCAAAAGAGGAAATGCAAGTCCCCGAACACACAGAGCTCTGTGAAGTTTGCAGAAAATCACATCCCATTGGTCCAAAGGAAAAGGGAGCAAGGTGAGTGATGCAGTCCCATCACATCAGCCAACCAGCCCTCAAATAACAAAGCTGCCACTACACAAACCCCGGAGTAGCACACTCAGCACCTTGGGAACACGGGGAACTCTTGGATGTGCACAAAATAGCAAGAAGATGGAAAGACAGAAAACAGAAACATGCACACAGCAGGGGATTGCCCCCAAGAGCAAAAGGAAAGGTGAGCTAACTACACACTCACTGCACAAAGGCGCATGGGCTGCCTCTCACTGCCCAGCAACACTCTGAGATGACAAGGTTTGGATGAAACACAGCCACGAACAATTCATTTTCTTAAGCAGTCTGTGGTTCCAGTGCTGCCTAATTAAATATCCAATGATCACCCACACACTCTGGAAGCAGGACAGACACCCAGCAGATCCACAGCAGGTTTCTGCACTAACGTGATCCACTTCAGAAAAACCAACAGGTCCCCAAGGAAACACTCCCTAAGTTTGGTTTTGTTTGGGTTTTTATTTACCCCTCGCAGAGCTGAATCAAAGACAGCAAGGCATCACTTCCAGCCTGCAATGTGCTGAGAGGCTGCCAGGGCAGAGGAGCCGGCCTGGCATTGCGGCTCTCTGTCCCTCCTATCTGCCCCTGCATCTCCCGCGGGTGGCTCACGGTCCCCCGGGAGCCCTGCCCGGCTCCAGCCAAACC